CAGGCACACAGGCACACAGGCACACAGGCACACAGGCACACAGGCACGGCTCCCTCCGCCCAGCACCCGGTTTCCTCAGATCCCGGAAGAGGCCGCAGTTCGGCCCCGTGGTTTCCAACACGCCGTGCACGCAGCGCGCACCTCCCACACCACGTCCCGCATCCTCCGGCTTCCGCGATCGGCGCAGGCCCGCCGTCCCCTGCCCTGCCCTTGCCCTCCCCCTGCCCTGCCCTGCCGCCGCTCACCGTTTCCCTGCCCGCCGCGCTCCTGCGCTGCTGCTTCGCATCGAAGGCGGCACCCACGGGGCACCAGCTGGTGCTGACGGCCCGCCGTCCCGGCGCCCCGGCCGCCCGGCCCCGCAGCGCAAGGCCCAGCGCCGCAGGCAGCGCTCGCCGGCAGCCGGCCAGCATGGCGGAGCGCGTTAACGCCGGCGAGGTGCCCGGGAGCTCGGCTCCGGGCACGACAGCGACCTCTGCGCGTTCCGGCCTGAGGCGAGGAGCGGCGCTCGCGAGCGGGAAGCGGAGCGGGAAGTGGCGCCTCCCCTCAGCCCGGCCGGCCCCGCGCTGCCTCCCCGCGGCCGTGCGTTGGAGCTGACAAGAGCGGCTTAGGACGCCCGACTGGGTCAAGGAGGAGTTCAACGCTCTTTGGATTTATGTCGTTTCTGTCGTCTCGATCCGTGTTTCAACAGATGGGCATGAGAACTGTTTGTTTTCTGCTGTATTCAGATGGAATTGGCCAGCAGAAACTTTATTGGGGTGTACTGAGGGACACAGGCATATGGCATTAATGGATGGAACAAACAAAACATGAGACAGGAAATAAAATAAGGTTTGCTTGCAGGCTGGATGTGGCTCTGGGCAGCCCGGTCTGGTGGTTGACAACCCTGCAATATAGCAGGAGGGTTGGAAATAAATGATCATTGTAGTCATTTTCAACCCAGGCCACTCTATGATTCCATGAGTTTCATAAAGAACCTCCACCTCTTTGAACAGTAAGATTTGGGTGAGCAGAAATCAGACAACAATTGACTCAAGTCACAGATTAACAGCGTGGCTTCATGCTGTGAGTTCCGGCATCTCAGAGGTGCTGAACAGGAGGAACCCAGTGAAGGTGGTATCATCATCAGCATCTGCAAACAGCCCGTTGAAGCTCTCTCCTCGGTGAGCCTGCAGCCACACCTCATCTCCTGCCCGTAGCTGAAGGATGGCAGCTCCCGACGCCTGGTCCTCAGCACCCTGGTATCCATCCATGGTGTGCAACATCTTGATCCCGTTTTTGACTAGAGCTACTCGGACATTCCTCGAGTAGACAGTGATATGGTAGGTGAAATAGTAAACACCAGAGAATTTGCAGGTGAATTTGCCGGTAACTGGATTATAGTCACTTAGGCCATTATAAAGCACCTTGTCGAACTTGATTGGGTGACTGTGGGGAGGGAACTTGGTGGCAGCTGTAAGGCCTACACTGAAAGCACTCCTTGGCAGAACTGCTGGGGCACCTGTGTTTCCCTTGTCTCCTCTGTCTCCTTTCAAGCCTCTCTCCCCCTGAATTCCTGGACTGCCCGGTGGCCCCAGATCTCCAGTATTACCTTTAGGACCCGGATTACCAATGGGGCCAACTGGCCCTGGCAAACCAATTATTCCAGGATGTCCAATTTCACCCTTTGTCCCTTTTGGACCTATGGGCCCAATGTCTCCTTTTAACCCCTTTTGTCCTTGCAGTCCCAGCTCTCCCTTCTGACCTTTGTAACCCACTGACCCTATAATTCCTTTTGGTCCTAGTTTCCCAGGTCGTCCTCTTTCTCCTTTATCTCCTTTGTTCCCCTTCTCTTCAACAGTTCCATTGGCTCCTAAGTGGGAAAACCAAAAAGTCCAGTGGATTAGTGAGTCAAAACATGAGTTTCAGCACAAAAACGTATGTGTATGTCACCACTATATACACCGTGCTCACCACATGTACAGTGTTTCATACATGTGAGTTCAGGATAAGACAGAAAAGCCTGCTATTACAATAGAAGACAGGGGCCTTTGCTGAAAGCAACAAAAATAAGCTCAAAGAAATGAAGGTGTGATTAGTCTACAGGCTGCTGATAGCACTGACAGCTCAGATCATCTCATGTGCAAACAGCATCTGTTCAGACCCATGTTCTCAGCCTTTGCTATATGTGAGGGAGACAGTTTGCAATTTCATCAGAGAATCTACTACTTGAGCAACACACAGATATTACTTGCCATGAGTTTATATAGTTCCTATATGATGATACTTTGTTTGGGTTACCTAGATTGCTGTTGAATTGCAACTGAAAGCTTTTTGTATTGGTATTTGCTTTCACATGCTCCATTTATTCTTCATTCACAATTGGAATGAATCTCAAAGCTTTTGAAAATCCATCTGTACAAAGTTTTGCAGAGAAAAGCCTTATATTTTGAAGGGCACATTAGCAACTGATAGATGTAAGTGCTAGAAGATGCCATAATGTCCATACACTCAATCAATCAAAGCCAGAGTCTGATCATTTCTGTGTGAAAGCTTGTGGCTTTTGGTATTGGGAATAATGCTGTATGTAAAATGTGAACTTTACAGTTCTCAGCTCAGAGTTGAGAGTATTTGGCAGCAGCAACGAAGTAAAACCATGAAATTCTGTGGTTAGTCTCTTGGAAAAAAAGCACAACAGATCCAACAGGCCACTGACATGGGAAGAGAAGATAGCTCTGTAATGCTTAACATTTATGTTTCATGTCTCCCTCTCCTTCCTTCTAGTAGACTGAGGAAATGTCTGAGAGCTGTAGAGCAGACTGTCACTACTCCCATGCAGTGCATATTCCATGGTGTATTTCAGAATAATCCTAAGGATTTTGGAGAACCTGGGTGCAGTATTTGGCAGATTTCAATGCTTTTGGAAATATGAATTGTCTATGCACGGTTACTCCAAAAGGTGCATAAGTCCAGCATCACCAAGTTTCTGAATTTGTGTTCCAACTTGCACAATGTCTCATTGCTTGATTTTATTCACAGATCATCAGGAGACTTTCTAGATGTGTGTAGTTTGGCTAAGCATGTGGTGTAGCCATTTTCTAGACCTTCATGGCTTGGGCTGTTGGGATTATGGAAAAGTTCATGGTTGCTGTGATGAGATAGGAAAAGCATCACAAGAATATGGGAAATGGGATCTGAGGTGAAATGCTGGTTTTATAGAACGCATGGCGACTCTTGTCCTGTGGTCTCTGGGGGCTGCTTTAAGCCAGGATGCTGGGGCTAATGCCTCATGGGCATATATTTTAAAATACTACTGAAGATGCTGGTTTAACTCTGGGCTGTTTCACAGAATCACAGAATCACAGAATTGTAGGGATTGGAAGGGACCTCCAGAGATCATCGAGTCCAACCCCCCTGCCAAAGCAGGTTCCCTACAGCAGGTCGCACAGGTAGGCATCCAGGCAGGTCTTGAACATCTCCAGAGAAGGAGACTCCACCACCTCCACTCCACCACCATGTTTGCATAAGGTGTGATTACACAGAGGCATGGAAAAGGTGCAGGAGATTAGAATCGTGGAATTATCCCAATTAATCCCAAATTGGAAGGGACCCACCTGATTATCTTATTGAATAACAGGATCTACTGTATTTTCAGGTGTACAATTCATGTCTTTTGTAATTCTTTTTGAAATACCTTTGCCTGAAGGTACATACATGCCTATGGGAGCTTCAGTTTCCTTGGATAGCTACAGATGTGATGTCTGCCTCAGCAGCTGACAAAGGGATGAGCAATAGGAAAGGTGAAGTCATAGGCTGAGCAGATAAGTTATATGGCATCAGAGGCAGCAGGATAATTGGAGGGAGCAAATCTCTCTTGTACTGTCAGCCTCTACCCCTTCTGAAAAAAGGTTGCCATGGTTTTATGATTTTTGGTTATTGTATTCCACATCATAACATCATGTAGTGCACTAGGAGTTAAACTTTAACATTACATTGCTACAGCTAGAGTGTATAGCATGTCTAATGCTCATAAACCCATAGGCCACTAACAGATTGAAGTGCTCTGACCTTTTTGTCCTTTTTCTCCATTTGCACCATCTTTCCCTGGAGTGCCAGGAAGTCCTGCTTCCCCTAGTACAGAAGAAAAAAACAGATCTTCATTAAACAACTGTAGTACCAGAAAAAATGGGATTTGAATCCTTCTGTGATCATTCCTCTTCTAGTTTGGCTAAACAATAATGTAGTCATTTTATTCCTGACTTCTGGTGCATGCCACTGCTGAGGCTTTTGTCTCATTGGGAGAACAGAAACTCTGCTTGGGAAGAGCACCTTTTTGAGACAGAATTCTTAACATAAAGAAGGGGGATACTGAAGTATGTGGAGGAGTATGCTGGTCAACATCAATGAGGTGAAAACCTCTTGTCCTCTTGTTGCCTTCATCCATGGAAGATGACATGGAAGATACCAGCAGGAAAAGGAGTGAGGAAGCTACTTCCAGAAAAAAAGCTTTACCCTAACAAAAAGCCTCAAAGTGAAACAGTGATTAACTGCCCCCAAAGAAAAGACATCTTAGTGTAGACCTGACTGTCAGTTGCTCAGAGCAGACAGTAAGCAGCAGGCAACTTTCTTACCCAAACTGTAAGTGCTGATTATTTTTCAGCTGATCTAATTTACTGTATAGGCACACAAAGAGTTGTGGTGTACTGGAGAGGGGAGTGAAGGGGTGGCAACAAGATCTAGCAGAGGTTCCTGCCTGCACCATTATTGCCACCAAAGAAATGCAGTCAAATTACACCTTCAGCACTGATTGCAGCACTCACTTCCTATGGAGGCACAGGTTTTCCTTGCAAAGAAAGTGATTCATTAGCTTTTGGGTTGTGACTGCACCAGTAACTCTATTTAGGTCAGGCATTTCCTTTGGCTTAAAAGGCATAGTAAAACATTGTAGCATATTTCAAGTTAATTTCTAGCAGACTGTTGACCTCAGTTTGTTTTGCGTACTGGGTTATGTGATACACTGAAGAAAAAAAAGAAGAAAAAACAACCAAAAGCTGTGATTCACAATCTGCAAGATCAGGATGGCAGAAGGGTTTATCTGATGAGCACAGTTTCAATCTGGATTGATTTGTGCACACAATAGGACTGTTCATGACAGGTTTATGCATTAAGCCACGATGCCCACTGTGTGATGCCACACAGTTGCTGACCTGACCGACAGCCTGTTGGGGAAAAGCTTTTCCTACCAAAATTTGTGAGCAGATATGAAGCAGATTTGTGTTTGTTCTGTGTTTCGCATTCTGGACTTGTGACATTTCTGATGAAGTGTTGTAAGTCCTTGTCTGCGAGTTCATCCTCTGGTAGATCCCTGGCCTTGATGATGCAGCATGGATGCAAAGGGCAGCCTTATCCTGAGGCTTAAATTACCACAGGAGTTACTGTCTTTGGCCTGAGAAGGTTTCCTGTCTTCAGTATTATATGCAAATCTCTACTACAGCCTACTACAGCAAGCATGAATCCTACACTGTTTTTTAGATAATGTTCTTCCCTGCCCTTCATTGTAATGGTGCTTATGTTACAGCAAGTAGGGACACTCTGAATCAAGTCCTACAAATGTAAAATGTTGGTAATAAATAGAAGTCTTCTTACCTCTGCACATTTCTTTTTACACTTTTTTTTCTTTTAATTGGGCTTGATTTTTTTTTCTGAAAGTATAGTTGCTATTTTAAAGATGCAGAAATATGTTTACAGGCTTCAAAATGTTTGAGCAGACCTGAAAATATTCCCTAAACAGAAAGTAAAGGCTTTCATTTTTATATCTGTTTTTGTCTCTTGGACCTGACCTCTCTATTATCTCTATTTTGCTTTCATTAGGTCTTATCTCATATCTCCATCCTCAAACCAGAAGGTGATGGAAGCCTGAGATGTTTTCTGAGGGCTAGCTGGACTGATCTATTAATGCAGGGTGCCAGGCATCTTTGGGAAACTAATAGCAAACTATTTTGTACTTCCAACTCTCTGTGTTGAGCACAGTACCTGTGTCTCCCTTGTCGCCTTTTGAGCCATCACGTCCATCACGACCAGGTATGCCATTGTGCCCAGGATTGCCAGGAATGCCAGGATATGCTTGGGTACAGATGTCCTGCTTTTGTGCTTCTTCTGTGCTGACTGCAATAGCCAGCAGTATAATCCAGCTTTTCATTCTTTAGAAAGGTTAAACGATATTGGCTGAAAGATGTAAGAAAGGAAAAGTACATTTACTTAAGTCTGTGTGATTGGTTTTTTCCTCACATTTAGTTTGTGAGCCCAAAAACAGTGTTGGGGAGGGAGGAAAAAGAAATGGGCTTTTCAACATATCTCTTGTTTTGTTTTGTTTTATTTACAGGTCTCTATATAGCAGTAAATACCATCCTTGACACTACTGGGCTTTATTTCCAATAATAATTGAATGGGAATATCAGACATACCTTTGTCGTATAGGTTCTGTCTCGTATTTTCTTATACAGTGTGACCAGTGGAAGTAACTCTGCAAGGACTGTCCGTAGAGATACTGATGCAGGTAGATGGTGAGCAGCTGAAAATCACCAAAGCTCTGGGGAAGCTGAGGGCTACCCCTCATGTCCTCGGGATCTAGCCAGCAACCAACAGCTCAATACCTCCCACTGGGTTTCCCACTGTTCTGTTTAAACCATCAGAGTACTGACAAAGCATAGATTTTGTGAATATGGTTGATCTTAAACTGTATTTCAAGATCATAAGAAAAAAGCAGAATTGATCATCACACTTCCAGTGATTTGATTTACTCTGACCAACAAAACTCCAATGTCTGGAAAGTCCACAAGGAAATGTGCTGTAGTTGCTGTCCTAAGCCCTAGGGCACAGGCAAGATTTCAAGCCCTGGGGGGTTGATTCAAGTAAGAGTAGTGACCCTACACTCATACACAAGGATTCATACAACGTCCTGTTCCTTTAAGCTGCTGTTCAGCTTATATATAACACACAGGCACTCTTTGTCGTAATTTCTACATTCCCCTAGCCAGAGCAGCACTCACACAGGAGCTGCTTCATGGCTGCTGCTGCCTGACAGAAGCCTGTCTACAGCGTCAAGCTCACTCCCTCCTTTCTGAAAGGCTTGATAAAAACAGTACCCTACCCATTTGAAGTCAACATACCTCTTCTCTCGGGGCTCCAGATCAGATAATGTTGGCCATTAATAACCCAGTATTTATCTAACAGCTTCTTAAGGGAAAAATAATGTAACTGAGCCAGTCAGGCAGTTTGCAACTGAGAAAAAACAGGGCTTCTCCATCTACATTTCTTCATGACGCCTCATGGCTACAAGTCTGTACCTCTCGTCTCCCACGAGCTCCCACGAGGAGGTGAGCTAAGGTGATTCAGTCCCTTAACTTCGCACAAAACAATAGCATTTGTTGCTGTTGTTGTTTCTTCTCTTTTATCACAGTTAGTCTTTTTCTGGGTTAATAAGTTGAATGACCTCACAAAGGGTCAGAGCTGAAGCAGAGTGAGATGAGGACAAAGATGTGAGGAATCAAATAAGAATTTTTTTGCAAAAGCAGATCTTTAGTCTAGTTCTCCCCCTCTCATTTAACTGTGCTTCACAAAATCCAGCTTATTTTCATGCTTTCATTAGGGAGCCCTTGCTGTTTTATGGCTTTGAGGAGAGGTCCACTGAACAGGAATTGAACTTGCCAATTACTCTTTATAAGAGTAATCAGTGAGAAGATGTTAAAAAGAGGGACAAAAATGAAATAGCATTCAATAGAATGCATGCAATAGAAATGAATTGCAAAAATTAGTTGCAACAAAATTAGTATTTTATTTGATGCTATTATCTTTAAATAATTAATGCACAGAAGCATAGCCTATGGAGGTTAATGGTGGTCAGAATAAGTACATTTTATGTAATTGACTTTAAATTATTTCTTTCATGAATAAGAATGTAAGGCTAAGATCAGTTTCCTTTTGAAATACTAACTAGGATAGTGACATTTCAAGTGACCATGTCAGAGAGACACCAGTATATATTCTCTTTAACAACAATTGCACCTTGGTAGGAATATTCAATGTAAACATTCATTCAGTTTATAGGGTAGGATAGCCCCACATTTCTAACACATCCTTTAGTATTTCCTCCTGTTTTCCAAAATATTCCCAGTTTTGCAGCAGTTATGTAAATGTTGTTGGCAGTGCCTTTGCCAGCAGCATACAAAGTGGTGTTTGGTCACACACCAGCAAAATCTCTCTTCATCTGCTGCTGGTTTGTACCAAAGGGAGTTGAAAATACGTCAAACTTCTGCTATTTCCGAACTATAAACATTTGCTGCCTTAGTCAAAGAAGTCTACAGGAAAGTGAAAGGAAGAAGTGCTGTACGGGATGCTGTTAACATATGAATTACCCCATGGGGAAGTCTGACAGTCCTTGTCCTCCCACAGAAAATTCCATTCCAGTTGTTCAAGGTATTCTTTTGTGCCTAAGCATTTCATCCCCTTACACGCACTTCTCAGCACACAACAGCAATATCATCATCAGCAGCAGCAGTGTATATATCGTATCTTTGCTCTTACCTCATTCACTTTGTACTTGCCATGTTCTTGGGCATCTTTCAGTATTACATAAAAGCTTCCCGTAAGGGAATGCAGGCTCCAGATATGTGCCTTGAGGACAAGCACTTGTTTGGTCACTGAATTCTCAAAGGTCAGTGATTTCATTTTGAGAGCTGTTCAATAATTAAAACAGAGCTAAACTGGAATCTCTCTGTTAATTCCAATAGTAAGCTGAAGTGCTCTGTACTTCAGCTTTTGCCATGGTTATGTGAAATAAAATTGTTAGGATGAATCAATAAAGCTTTGATATGCCTCTTCCATTATACAAATGTGTTATTTAAGTTTGTAGGACAGAACACAGGTCCCATGGCTTTATTTTAGCAAAGGAAACTTACAAAGGTCAGTTAGCAGTTTATGATGGAAGTGGGGACAAAAAGAATATAGAAATTACAACAAAATTAAAACCGTGAATGTGACATCACCAATGTCAGGTGATTATGGAAAAGAAGTAACAGGGCTGAGTTAAGTAAAGAAATTGAATGGCAGAGCTTTTCACGTGTAGTTAGCAAGCTCTCCATTGCTGTTTGAAGGGTCTGTCATAGTTACAGCACCTCTGAGTTTATGACCCAAATTTGAAGAAGCCATAACTTGATGCTTCAGTGCATCTTATTGACATTACTGAAACTGCTGCTCTCTGAGGACTAGCAGGAAAGCAACTCAGTGTATCATCAGCTCCATAAATGCTGATCATGAACAGTGAAGGGTGAAAACCATTAGTAAAAGGAGTTAATGATATAAGAAGTGGCCTCAATTCACCCTGGTTGTGCAAGTGATTGAAAACCTTGTGTCCGGGGTGGTTCCTGCACTGCAAACAGCTGACGAACCTGGTCTGTCCATTGAACAACCTTTTAAAAATCCAGAGCACAGCTGAGCAGTGAATGGTTTTCACTAAGATCTTCACCCCCACCCCGTGGTAATAAAAAATATTACAAGCTTTATGGTGAGAAAAAGGGCATTGTGCAGCAATTAGCTGCTCTCCTTGAATCATAGAATCATTGAATCACCAAGGTTGGAAAAGACCTACAAGATCGTCCAGCCCAAGCATCCACCTATCACCAATAGTTCTCACTAAACTGTATTCCTCAACACATCTGAATGTTCCTCTAACACCTCCCTGGCAGCCTATTCCAGCCTGACCACTCTACTGGAGAAGTAGTATTTCCTAATGTCCAACCTGAATCTCCCATGGTGCAATTTGAGGACGTTCCCTCTAGTCCTATCACTGCTTGCATGAGAGAAGAGGCTGACTCCCACCTTCCTACAACCTCCCTTCCAGCAGTTGTAGAGAGCAGTATGGTGTCCACTAAGCCTCCTCTTCTCCAGTCTGAACAATCCCACCTCTGCAGCCAAATTAACCTAAGCCTCCTCTTCTCCAGACTGAACAATCCCACCTCTGCAGCCAAATTAACCTATTTGCTATGCTAATGTGAAGAAATGAGAGCCACTACAAACAATGCTTTTCTCTTTACCCTTTAGACCAGCACTATTAATCCAATTTGATGCCTTTTTGTTGGTTTTATTGAACACAGAACCAAGAAGGACAAACGTTTCCATCAGCTGTTTTCTAGCATTCCTTGTCACAGAAAAGATGGCTCAGAAGTAGTTGTGCAGAAGCAAAAGGTCATCATTCGTTCTTATCAATGCTGCACCTGAGTGGCAGGAAATGCATATATGGTTTTTTTAGATTGATTACTTTGATAATTACCTTTGTCAAAGCTGAACATGACAGTAGTGATCATGGGATATATAGTTATTATATATCCAACTGTGTGACTGGGTATCTCCAAAGTCATAAAACGAAAAGCTTCACCTGATAGATCAGCTCTTGAAGAACTTAAAAGACAGTGCTAAGCAACTCCCTACGGAATTGGGCCTGAATGTCAAAACATTAAATAAAGTGCACAAATGAGGTCACCATGGCCAGATTTCAGTTGTTAGAGACTTCTGAGGGACATCCTCTTCAGGAAGCCTACTGACCATGACATTGTACTCCATGGTTTGCAGAAAGTATGTTTCTCAGCCATCCACAGCCTCACTCTGTGCTCACATTATGTATTTTGCTTCGATCCCTGAGCGTTCAACACAAACCTTGTCCAGCAGTGGCACTTGGAGGCCTGGAAATTGCCAGCTCTGAAGTGAACCAAGAACTAGATATAAAAGATTGAACATTGAAAGGAAAGGGATAAGTCAGCAAGCCCAACTAATTTGCTATCTTCTGAGTTCAGCAAAACGTTTTTCATGAAAAGATTTCAGGAAATCAGATTATTTTGTTAAAGCTATTGTGTCTCGGTGAAACCGTTTTTTAACATGGCCTTGAGCAGGAAGCACATGTGCATGCCATTCAGATGTGGTCCCTTGCTGCATCACAATGATGAGATACAAAAGACTTTTCTCCACTAGCCAGGGCAGCAAGCTGAACCACACGCATTTACACAGCATGCCCTTTGGGTGAATCCTTTTCCTGGGATTTGGGTATTTTCCAAAGAAAACAGAATATAAACCTCCTCACCTAAACCACAGAACTTAAATCACCACCCTCTGTTTGCTACAGTTTTATTAATAGAGCAGCTGCATTTGCACTTACTTCCAAGGGTACTGGAGAACAGGCTGCTAGGACAAGGTAAAGTACAATGACAGTGGATACATATATCTGGGGTCTTAATAAGGATGGTTTCTGCATGAACAAAGAAGAGTTCAGCCCCACAACTGGGTTCAGCAGTTTGCTAAAATGAATTCGTACTGGGAAGTACTGAAGTTGTCACTAGAAACCAACAGAAGATGGTGTGATATGTTTTTTCCTTTAAAATAATAAAGTAAATGGGACAGCTGAAAAATGCTTGCTACACAGAAGAGATTTTGTAGCCAATGTAAGAAGTCCAGCACTTCTAAAACTGTACAATAAAATTTTATAAGACACAGCTGAAGAACTTCAGCTGTACATTATTTAATTAAAACACATACAACGAGAGGAAAACAATGGGAATGGAAGTTTGTACTTATTTCCAGAAAATAGATTCATTTGACAACGTTCCAAGAGTAAACAAACATTGTAATGCAATTACTTCAGAACAAATACACATGAAGACACTGCAGTCCTATACATCGTGTTTCAGCCGTCAACAGCCAACTCATCTGCTCTGTAGCCAAGACGCTTGATTTACAGCACATGTAACAGCACACAGATGGTGAGATGCACGAAGTAAGATAAAATGTTACAAAACACTTGTCAAAATAAAATACACACGCAACTTCATCCCTAGTATTTACAACAAATAGTTTTAAATTAGAGATCGTTCAGAAGGGATCTCCTACACACTGATGCCACATATGGAAAAAAAGCAGAAAGGCGGTCGAGGAAAGGTACTGTGTTAGTTATGGCTAAAGACCTTTGGCTCCAAAACTCTGCTCTAATTATTTTCAAAAGACAGCTAAAACGCAGAACATTTAAGCAGTCTGTCTTTGAACTCCTTCACTACACCGACCACTAAAACTCAATGTGAAATTTAGCATGGCAAGAGCCACTTGTAAAACAATCTTATTATTTTATACATCAAATGCTCCCAGTTAGATGCAATTATGGTTTGGCATTATCCGAACTCAGTGGGAACACATTTGAAGACAATTACATTTTACTGCATCTCATGCAAAAAGTCTGAGGTTGTCTGCTCAGCAGGCCATCAGGAAGGCTCTGGCTGTGCTTTAGCTAAATGAGGCACAAGTATGCTTAGTAGTTGCCCTAGAACATTTGACGGTAACTTATAGCAAACAAAAGTGAGTGGAAAAGACAGCTTTCTGAAGGTAAGTTTTGTCATCAGGAAAGTCAAGACTTTCATGTTCTGCTAAAGGACAGAGATGCTAGAGCTGAAAATTTTACATTTTATTAGCAGCTCTCTTCCCCACAGACTCTGAAATCAGACTGATCCCCGAGTAAACATTTGCCTTACTTGTTGGATAATGTAACTGTGTTTTTGTTTAACTGTAATTCATTTAAAAGATTATGGTGTAGTTCAAATTTGGCCTGCCTCCTTACATTTTATCAGTCTTGCTGTATAGCCAGCACATTCTTTGACCGACAAATATATAACCCAATAAAGTACAGTGTTGGTAGCCTCTTCATCTATTGAAGATTGCAAAGACACAGAGGACATTATAAAACACATCTACAAGTAGGGCACTATATATAAAACTGTCCTGAGTAATTTGCACCATGAAACATTTTCTCTTTTTGAAAGTTCTCTTAAGGGAAAAAAACAAAACAAAACAAAACAACCTGCTGCATCCAAAACCACATACAAACATTTCTGTTCATTGTTAGGGCTAAGGCACCAGCACTACTACATGGGAGGAGCCTTTATGGGCACTGATGTGACAGAAGATACATCCCAAAATCTTTTCACCAAAGACAAAATTGTGGATCTAACTCTCACAATGTCTCCAGGTCACTCTGGGAAAGTTTCTGCATGTAAACTGCAATCCAACTTCAGATGTGTTTACATCTGGAACAAATCTTTCAAAATGTGGATACGAAATACCTCTGCTTCCATGATACGTGCACCGCTTTGGTTTGCAGGCCTGAACATGGGATGTACCCGTGAAAATGGGTACGTAAGAAGCAGAGAAGGGGTGCTCAGTTACGTGGAAGGGCATGCATCCACACTGGCATTTGGAAGTCAGTTCATCAGTTTAAATTGAGCATGCCAAATTATCTCTTAGCTTGTTTTAAACACAAGAACTGAACCCAGCCAGCTTTTGTCACCGTCCTTCTTGTGCGCTGTCTTTAAGCTGGGCTGTTGTAAATGTCAGTGCATATTTCCAGTTCCTAACTGTTTCAGGTCATCTTCTATCACTACAGAAAAGCACAAGCAATGAAGTTCACTATGGAGTGAACAATTTGGCTGAGCATCACCAGACTTTGCATTATTGCTGAGCTATATACACAAGGCATTTGAAATGTACAGTCGTCACAGATGTCATTTAAAATCAAAACTACAAACCTGCACTTTGCAGAAGTTGCAGAAAGTTACCGAATCACAAAACCATCAGAGTAGTGGGCTTCAACACTGATGATAAGTAGAAAGTTAGAGGTAAGAATAGCAGTAGGAACAAATACATGTTTAAAATAAGGCTTTTTTTACATTGTTATTAAGATGCCTGGCCTCTAGCCCATTCTTTGTTCTTCATATATTACAGATTCATTACAAAGGTGATTGCATCCACTGTCAAAGAATACTCTTGGATCTACACTTATCATTTGATAATGCCCCTAATCAGCAGCATAGGATAAAGTATTTGAAAGACATTCAAAACAAATCAGTTCTGAAACATAAGGAGTCCTCTTTTCCTTCCATATTACCAATAGTCTTGCCATTCTTTGTGAGTTAGCGAGTAGAAATGATCAGTGCTGCCAATAGTGAGATCCTGTTTCTTCTTGGTGGCACTTAGAAGTTGTTCT